ACCAGAAGAACGCTTTGGGAGTCGATAAACAGAATTGCTTTCATGATATTGTTCTCTAATAAGTACTCCACAGCCATTAAAATACCATACAATTCGGCAGTAAAAATATTTGCAAGAGTGTGGAGTTGTCGAACTTTGCTAAAGGTAATGGAATAAAGTGCACACCCCACAAAAGTTGATGTGTTCGATCCATCAGTGTAAAAATGTGAGTAGTTCTTGTATTTCTTTTCTAAGTCGGCCAACTCCTGCTGAAGAACGAGTGGAGAAATAGCTCTCTTTCTGTACTTAGACAGTGACCAGTCACAAGAAATTGGCAGAAGGTCCCACGGCGCAACTCTCTCGTTGCCCCTCAGCAAAGCAGCCTCACTAAAGGGGAGATGGAGCGATGTTGCCATGCTCTGCACTCTGAAACTCAGGGGCCGAACAATGCCCGGCTTGTTTTCAAAGAGTCGGAAGGACGTAGAAGGTTGAAGTGCATCAAAAGTGGGATGTTGAGGATAGCTGTATATCTTGTAAGCATAACAAAGACTCAAATACTGCCTTCATCTTTCCAAGAACATTTGATGTGTATCAGCATACAAGTTAAACACAGGTGATGTTCGAAATGCTCCCGTGGCAAGCCTGAGCTCCAGATGATAGACGGGGTCCAACATTTTTAGGGCAGACTGACGTGTTGACCCATAAACAATCGCGCCATAGTCCAGGCGGGACCACATCAAGGAGTTATAAAGTTGTAAGAGGCACCGTCTGTCAGACGTACCCCCAGGACGTATGCGACAACACTTTGAGGATGTTTCATGAACGTAGGCATTTATGTTTCAACTCTTTCAAGTGGGGTATAAAAGTGGGCTTTTTATCAAATATTATTCCTAGAAACTTGTGCGCCTCCTTTACAGAGATAGCGACATCATTTAGGTGCAACACTGGATCAGGAGACAGGCCACGGCGGAGTAAAAAGGGAACACAGATTGTCTTTTCGGTAGAGAACCTGAAGCCATTTTCATCGGCCCACTTGCTCATCTTATTGATTGTGAGCTGCAATTGCCGTTCACAGCTGGACAGATTACAACAGGAAAACAATATCTGTACATCGTCCACATACATTGAGTAGGATACAGATGGTGGTATAACCCGAGCCAGACTATTAATCTTCACAGCAAAGAGTGTAACGCTTAATACTCCACCCTGAGGGACGCCGTTCTCCTGGAGAAAAACATCCGACAGGACGGAGCCCAAGCGCACTTTGAATGCAGCGAAGCATGCGACCTCGGACACCATATGAGTACAAGTCTCGAAGGATCGATCCCATATCTCCAAGTCGTGTCATAAGCTTTTTGTAGGCCAAAGAAGGCAGAAACACAGTGCAGGCGATGGACAAATGCTTCCCGAATAGAAGTTTCCAGGCGGACAAGGGGTCTATCGTGGAACGACCTGCTCGGAAGCTACACTGATTTCTATCAAACACACCCTCGGCCTCTAAAAATGTACAAAACGGTGATTAACGAGTCTCTCATAGGTTTTGCCTAGGCAGCTTGTCAGTGCAATTGGGCGGTAGCTCGTCGGTATAGAAGGGTCCTTGCTAGGTTTCAGTAGAGGGATTATATGTGCCCTTTGCCAACAGTCAGGAAAACAAGCAGCATCCCACAGTAAATTAAAAAAAGGTGAGCAAATTGTTTAAAGAGTCAAATGACAGTCCCCTTAGCATCTCGTATTGAATTCTATCCGGCCCAGCCGCATATTTTTTTTGACGCCAAGAGCCAATTCAAGCTCACACCGTGTAAACGGCTCGTTAAAAGAACACCCTGGGCACCAGAAAAAGAAATAGCTTGTTTTTCTGCTGTTGCTTTAAACCTCTTAAAGGATTCACTATAGTTGGCTGAGTTAGAGACTTCCTGGAAGTGTTTACCAAGAACATTTGCTTGTTCCTTGAGGGATGTTGCTGATGGAAAAAGGGGTATCCCGAAAGGCCGGTAGTCTCCCCTGATCCTTCAAAGACGATCCCACACTTCCTTTGATGAAACAAAACTACTCAAGGATGTGACATATTTTTTCCAAGGACTGCCTTTGGCTTGCCTTCGCGTCCAGCGAGCTTTGGCTCTTCTTTTCTTGAATTCAAGCAGATTCCGTGGAGTGGAATATCGTCTAAACATGCACCACGCCCTGTTTTGCGACTTCCGTGTTGTGGTGCAGTCATCATTCCACCACGGCTTGCACTTCTTGGGGAGTCGTCCAGAGGTCTGGTCAATGCTGCGTGATGCGGCATCTATAATTGCTTCAGTAACGTACAGCGTGGCATCTTCGGGGCCCATATTTAAGAGAACAGACGTCAATAAAGGCCTTCAAACAAAAAAGAGACCAATCAGCCTTTTCAGTTTGGAAGTTGTGTTGGAATGGAAGGAATTGGCATCGTGCTTTCTAAAACAATAGGGAAATGATCGCTTCCAAAAGGGTTATTTAAAATCTTCCATGAAAAGCATGGAAGTAAAATTGGTGATGCAATAGAAAGGTCAATAGACGTGAATGATTGATGTGCTGCACTAAAAAATGTAGGTTCCCTCCCATTAAAAAGACAACCCAGATGATAATAAAAACCGCTCTACGACACCTCCACGAGAATCCTGGCGAGCACTACCCCACAAAGGGTGGTGGGCATTAAAATCGCCTAAAATTAAAAAAAGTTGAGGTAATTTTTTTAAAAGTGACTCAAGGTCACTGACGTGCAGTGGAGAGTTAGGTGGCAGATAAAGAGAAACTACCGTAATCAAACGGTCAACAAGAAGGCGTACAGCTACAGCCGAGCAAGCAACACCAGTCTGCACCACTATTGCCACTCCTCCCGACATATTATGGGAGAGTCTATCTTTCCTAAAAACTTGGTGCCGACGTAAAATCTGCGTATGAGTATTGTTTAGATGTGTTTTGTTGCAGGCTGAGTGGAATGGGTCTCAGCTCGTCCATAAAATAATTTACATCATCAATATTTCTCATAAGGCCACGGCAGTTCCACTGCATAAAATGGAAATTGGTCATTGTTTTAAAAACAAGTTAAAATGTGAGTAAAGAAGAAGGAAACGCTGGGAGAATAAGTAAAAGTTCTAAAGATGCCGCATGTGGCAAAAATTAATTCGCAATGTCACGTTGGTGGGATCACCGGTTTTTTACTTTTGTGCTTTCTCTTAATAGTCTGCCACTAATTCATGTCGTCTTGGTCAGACGCATGAGTGGAGACTTCTTCGCACTCATCCATGGCTTCAGTTTCCTGAGGCGAGGCTTTTCCTGCAGGTTTCTTCAGGTTCCGGGAACGGGGCGCCATGCCCCGCCCACGACCAGACCCAGCCAAAGGTACAGAGGAGGTACTGGGCGAAGCGTCGCCCAAGTCCACCCGTTCGTGTCCCTTAGGCACTGCAGGTGCGGCACGAGGGCCATGCCGCTCCTTCGGTGATGCTCATGCCACTCACCAAGCACCTACTAAAGCCGGTGCCCCCTGCGTGCGGGTATGGTGGCCCACGTGGCTGGGGTCTGTGGTGACGCTACTCACCAAGCACCTAAGGTGCAGGCGCCCCCTGCGGGGCTCGGGGTCCGTGGAGACGCCACTCTCCAAACACCTGCTTTCACAGGTGCCCCCTGCGGGGAGCGCCTATAGAGTGGTTGCGCGCGCACGCCGAAAGCGCGCCGAGAATGATACGCAGAGGAAATCGGTCCTTCAGTGAGCAAGCACTGAAGATTTTATTTTCGCATGGTGGGTGCATTCTTCACGTAGTGGGGCTCATAAATGATATACAAATTCAAAAATTATATTTGCAACATTGAATAACAGCACATACCATCGAAGAAACAAGGCAAAGCAAAAATGTGAAGTGCTTGTGAAATTACCGCGCTCACATATCTAATGACACGCTGCAACGTGTTACTTCATTACATTTGGCGTAGCAATTTCACTCACAATAATATCAAACAAACAAGAAAAAAGTATAGATGACTATATTAACAACACACATAAGAGGAACACACAATTCGCATTTTTCAAGACAGTCTACATATGTCTATATATAGATATCGATATATTCAAATGCTCAAATATAACTAATAACGAAACAAAATGAAGCAAAACATACCGAACTTTTGACTTACATTTTACATGCATAAGAAACGAAAGAACAAATCGCAGTTTACCATAGAAGGTGTAATTGTCGCTACTTCACAATGGCTTTTTACACGCGCATTGAACAAAGCGATCCCACTACTGCCCATGCGCGGTGCTAGCGGAGGCACGCAAACAAAATAGCGAGGCGTGTGTCTCGCGAGAACCACGCCGCGTCTGACCGCTTCGAGACCGCGCTTGTCCATGTTGGACGAAACCTTACTGCTGCGAGAAGTACAAGTGACGATTTATCACTGGTGTGCCAAGGGCCACTTTTGTCGCGTCACTTGCTACATGACAAGTAGGGCGCGCGGGAAATGAATCTTCGTGGCCCTGGAACCTTTTCGCATGATCCCGCATCTGTCAAGATCGCCGCTCTATTCAAGTCGGCCCGCCTCTACGTTTGTACACCGGTCACCTCCGCGAAAAACGTGTGCTCGTGAAAGAAAGCGCACGTACCACACAACGAAAGATAATCTTTAAGTCCTGTGCAAAACAAAAAGAGTATATCCAGACGACAAGAGCGAGCTCTGCCTTGCGACGAGCGACTGCGTCCGACACACGTTGTAGTCCGCCAACATCGAGACCACGACCGGCATTTTCCTATAGGATTTGGCAAGAACGACGACGGACGCCCTACCACGCACACTACAACATCAACTACGAACGGCCCGTAACAACTATCGCTGTGAAACATGAGGGGATTTCTGCTGCGATGTCCATAGACTCCCTGTGATGCAATCGCGGCCGTTGCTTCGATTCTCAGAATAATCAATGTGGAGAGGAGGGCGTGAGCTCCCGGTATATTTATAGGTCACCGACAATTTACAAGAATGAAAAAGAAGAAGAAAAAACTAACCAGGCAAAGGTATAGGGAAGGGTGTGGTTTACCGCGCACCAAAAAGGGAAACAGGAAATCCTTCTACCCTTACGTTCAGTATCGATGTCACCGTACCAGAACCTTCTCCCCGCCCCTTGTCCAATCGTTTACGCCGATGGACCGGTACAAAAAAGAATTACGTAGGCGAGGAGCAACATTTGTCCGTTACATCAGATAGGAAGTAGAAGCGTAATGGACCACTGATACCAACTATTTTTTCCGTAAAAGTCCCTACAGCCACCCTCGAGAAATCCTACATGCGCCACTACATTTGCCACGGGACTCTACGCCGAATCCCTTCACATGTATATAAAAGCCCGGATCATGAAAACAACTCGCAAGCTTAAAATGCGCGACTACTTGGTCAGTCTCGTTTTCTAACAGCCTGTGTGGAATAATGATTCAATTTGACATTTTAATAACTCCTCTGGTAATGCACTGGTAGAAAAAAAAGGAAAATAAACCAGAATTCTAGCCGGGTACTTACAAAATGACCAACATAAATTAAGAAGAAAAAAAAAAAAACCCCACAAAGACTACGCGTCTTCGTCGTGTTCCTATTTCTTTCGTTTACGTGTAATAGTTCACCCACACGTTCAACCTTACAGAAACATTGCGGGTGGGTTTACGAATCAAACATTTCCTTCGGTTTTTCGCTATGGCATTGCATGACGAGATAAGTTTGAATGAAGTTGACGTGCGAGTTCCAATCTTCCGCTCGTGAAATATCAATCAACGTATACTTATGCCTCGTCTAAGATATGAATTTGTAGTTTTCCCCCTTTTTTAAAGGGTCATATTATTCAGTTCAGGTCTAGCAATGCCAAGGTGTTGCGATGTATTTTTAACAAGTGTGTTATAAAAAAAAAAAGTATTTTTCTCCTTCCAGTCTGAAGGAGCTTAAGGCTTGCGTGCCCATCTCGTTGGTAGTGTGTCGTGTGGTTGTACTCTTGCACAGACACACTTTTATAAAAAAAAATTTCAGCGTGAATCGTACAGGTAGTATTTAATGCGTTAAATGTATTGTGAAAATTTTTGTTTTGTATTTCTTCTCACGTACACTTAGAGTCTGGAATTGCATTCGTATGATCAATGTATCAAGTTATCAAGTTGGATCATTATTTTTCTTGGGTGATTTTATTATACGTTGTTGCCTAATTTTTGTGTGTTAGGACTGTATTTTAGCAGTTCCGCTCCTGAACCCATCTCAATGAGTCTCCTGTACCTATCATATTAATATTTTTTTTTAAATAAAAGGTAACTGAAAAAAACCCATTATGCTGGTACTGGTGTTCTTACATTATTTCATTTTGAGCGTACACTTGCAATGCAGCTCAGTGCACAGGTAATAAAAAAGAAGAGAATAAAAAAAAAAGACAGATCGGCGTCTTTTTGCCTGTAGGGCTGACACGAGAAAAGTAGGAAAAGTAATACATAAACTGCAACGCGGTTCACCCTAATATTTCCACTTTCAAGCTGCGCCAGCTAAGCGTCCATTTGACGGCCGATGCCATGATGGCCTCTTCTTTTCACTATTTCACACAGCGTTTTAAGTTACAAGTTTGCGAGGAAGACGCTTGAGTTTGAGCGCCATTTCTTAAGACGCAATCAAAATGAAATAAGTACAAGTTCAAAGATAGGATTCGTGCATGCAATAGGTTACTGCATTACTACTTTAATTAAAGTAGTAATGGGCTTTTGGCAGGAACATACACGATACCAAATTTGGTGATACCATGTCTAACAAATCTGTAATGTGCAGCCATCTGAATCGAAAAGTGCGCCGCGGTAGCTGCGGTGCGTGGAGTTTCTAAAAAAAGAAAATATTAATTTAAAAAAATGGTCAGAAACTGTAAAATTTTTAACGTTGTTCAGTAAAAAGGCAGTGCGTTCCAACGTCCCTACCAAAACAAAACATTCCGAGAAGTCCCTACGTTTAGGGACATGCCCCTATACAGTTGGTAACACTGTAATAGGCGCGACGAAAGGGACAAGGGCGAGGGAAGTAGAGCCAAACAAGGTTCAATCGCGCAACTAAAGTTTGTGTAAAAAAACAAAGACGTATCCATAAAAACCATTTCCAAAATAAAACCGATAGTCGCGAACAGAATAAGAAACGCAGGGTGCCGAGTTCTTGTGATCGCTTACAGTGAGAGAACACGTATACACCGGCCCGCTGGCGCCATCTGTGAGATGACCTTGAAGCGACATTTCACTAGGGCGAAGGTTTTTCCGTGTTTTCGAGACCGAAAGCACGTATATTCATTTATAACCCTGCATGTCCGCGGATTACCCACGAATCATCCGCGGATATCTGCGGTAAACTGGCGGATGCGGATAAAAATTAGCCAAATTTGGCGGATTGCGGATTGGATACGGATATCCGCGTGTCCGGACCTACACTTTTGCCGAGGCGGTCCATAAACGAGTGCGACGGCACAGTGTGGAGTGAATACGCGAGTGGTACTATGAAATGCATCATCCAATGCATTGCGGGAGCAAACTGCTCTCGGATAAAAGGTGCCCGTCGTTCAGAAAAATGTTCTTTGCGTCAAGAAAGATTTGATTCTCACTAGAGATTGCTTTAGAACGTTCTATCTCGCCAAGAACCTTGTTCTTAGAAAAAGTAAAGAATGCAGGAGCATCAGTCGTCCCGGGAAAGCGTGTTCTTATTTGGCAGAGAAAGAGCGGAAAACGTTCTTTGGGCTAAGAAAACCCAAAACGTAGTAGCCACAAGAAAGTAGAAGATGCTTGCAAGCGACTTCTACGAGTAGATCAAGGAGATTAAATTAGGTCCGCTGGACTGGTTGAACTTGCGCCAAAACGAGTTTTCGCATCTCATTCGTGTAGCGTAGTTCGTGCATGCCATAACAGCATCAAGTGCATCAATGGAGAGAAACTTTACATTAGAGGGTATTAAGTTAAGAGAGGCGAACCAGTCTGAATCCATTCATGTTGACGATATTCTGTTTCTTCTACGCAGCAACCCCGACAAGTGAAACGTTGCGTGTGCGTGCGTTTTCTTTTTCTTGGCAATTGGCACTGAGTTGTTTTTAAGTATATATGGTTCCGAGCGTGCAGTTGAGGGTTCGTGTGTAAAACTGAAACCGATAGAATGTGTTGTCATCATTGAATATTGGGATATTTTCCCTGTGGTACTCGCGCCTTACGACATACACAGGAGTACTTTGCTGCCGTCCAGTCAGCGCCTTTCATCTCCAACTTTTTATTGTTAGACCTACATAGAATGACACAATGTTATTAGTCGGTCTTGTTAATTTTCAGGTTTATAAAATGTGTGTCTATTTGAAGTTGGTTTTACAAAGCAAAAAGGAAAATAAAAATTGGGATTTTCTTCCTTTTGAGCTTATCTTCTGGACAGAGTGTCAGTGTCACAAGCTTCCAAGACGCTCTCATTTAAAAAAAAAATTGGGATTTTCTTCCTTTTGAGCTTATCTTCTGGACAGAGTGTCAGTGTCACAAGCTTCCAAGACGCTCTCATTTAAAAAAAAATTGGGATTTTCTTCCTTTTGAGCTTATCTTCTGGACAGAGTGTCAGTGTCACGAGCTTCCAAGACGCTCTCATTTCTGCGATCATCTTTTCAGCGATTCGAAGTATCTCTGGAAGGTTGATAATTTATTTTATAAATAAGATGCAACAGAATGCGATAAGATGACTTTCACCGTATTCGGAGACAAAGCGTTCTCTTTACAAAGGTAAACAGACGGCTTATAGCATACCATTTAGATGATTTTTTTTTTATTCATTGTTGATTTTACGATGTAAAATGAATGAACAGACTTCAAGACGGATGCGGTTCCAAATTTCGCGGATGCGGTTCGGATGTGGGTGATCAAACTGTTATCCGCGCATGGCTCTACGTATCTATGAGAAGTGGTCATTTATAACATTTACACTTTTTTTTTTTTTTCAGGAGCAAAAAGGTTGAAACGCGAAAATAAAAAGATAAAATACTTACTCTGCAAGTGTTTTACTGTGACCTGATAGACGTCGCTTGTGTGTTCTCTCGTAGTAGAAGATTGCAATAAGAGGTTTTAAACTACAGGGTTGTAAGCTGTCGCAAGTGTGCGAACCAGTCTTAATGCCGTAATTTTATTGGATGCGGAGTGATAATTACATGCTCGAGCTCCGCCGCGCCCCGGTTTCTTCAGCTCTCGGTGACTATGGTAAAATTCGAACACCGATATCGTGCTTTGCTTCCCTTAAAGACTCGTGCCGGCGGAACAGAGGCCGATACTTCACGAGCAATCCACGAGCGGTCTTTCCAATTGTCCGTCTTACAGAAGGGTTAATCAGGGAACGGCACCTACGAATGACGTGTTCGGTCACGCACGCAGGGAGATCTGCCTGGCAACTGCGGCCGTTCACCGATTGCCGACGCTCAGCGTGACGGCAACCGTGTCAACACAGACACTATCGGTTCCAGTGACGCACGCCGCAAGTTTATATTTAGTTGACGAGGTTGCTGCTTTTTTGTTTGGTTTTGTACTGGTTACACACGGTGCGTTATGTTATGGTCCACTCCCTCCTCTCGACAATGCGAGAACAGCGGCAGACAATGCGGAGTTCAATTTTGTCTGCTTCTTTTTGTGGTAACGTCAGAACGCCGAGCCATGAGTGGTTCTGAATGAAGGATAGTGGGTAGACCTCAAGGCAGCTTGTTTTGGCGTATGTACGCACTGTCTTTCAATCAGAGCGAATCAGAGTTCGGCATTCTGACGTCACCAAAAAAAGAAGCAGACAAAATTGCGTTCCGCATTCGAGAAACAGCCGCTTCTGGCCAGCGTCATTTTCAGTGTTCACGCGTATGGCGCGTGCTTTTCTCGCCTTCCGAAGTAACGGACAAGCACATGGTGGGCTGTAAAGGTCGCATTCCCTGGGCCGTGCTTTTGTGTACAGTCAGTGGCACGGTGTCTTAGCGCCGAGATGTCTCGGTGGCGCCCCCTCGTCATTTTCTTTTTGCGTGACGTCACGACCCCTATTTGTCTCGCCGTGA